CCCGATTTTGAGCATCCGGTCTCTGCCCGACCAAAGTCGCAGTTTCCGAACTTGAGTAGGCTTAGATATGAATAATTCTTGTAACATTTCTAATTTCGAGTCAATGGAACTCATTTTACCTTGAAACGCAAAATGTTCAAGTCCTTTTTGCTTGCCAGAGGTGTTAGATTCTTCAACGAAGTTTTGGCTTGAGAAACACCCGAAGTACGGGATGAAATACACTTATTATCGTCTTCTACATCCGACATAACGATAAAATAACTGAATAACAATAAAATAAAACTAAAAATTCTACTCCAAAAGGAGAAAACTCCGGAAAAAACACAGAGAAAACGCAAGCGGTGTTGACGTTTTGCTCGCCAGAAATAAACTGCAGTATTGGGGTTTACAATGTGCGTCTAAGAGACACAGATGCTTGTTTTTTTAATTAGCGGATTGTGAAACGGAAATATATCCTAATGTATTTTCCATCAGGTGAGTATAAATCATGAAATGAAATCTATGCTCCTTTCTTAAATCACAATGCAGCTCAGCCATGTGTACAACCAATGTACAAAACAACATGTATTTAAATGACCTGCACGTGAAAATCGTGCAAAAATAGCCTGTTGGTTAGAAAAATCAATAGTCTATCAAACGATATATTAATACTATACATGTACTTTCACGTGCAAGCAAGCAAACAATTGTAGCTGATTTGGTACACTATTGCGCGTTATTTTGTCGCTGGACGCAACGCAACAAATATCGATATCGCCTTGTTTCTGAAAGGTATAAATATATTAGTCGCCATGTCGCCCTATCTTTTGGCTTATATCGAAGGACTGGCTTCTTATCGAGCTTGCTCGTTGTCGCGAGCATTAAAGCGCCAATAAGCGAATTCTTCCGTTAAGTATGAAATAAATGGTGGCTGATAAGCGTCGTGTTGATGCTAGCGAGCGACATCACGACAAAGTGCCAAACGGAGCATTGCCGAACTTTCGTCTTGTCGTCCTGTCGCTAACGATACACACCAAAGGCGCGTTGGCGTGCGGCATGTTGTCGTGATGTCACATTGTCGCTGGGCTCAAATCGAAGGATTTTATATATAAGCCGCACAAAAGTGCGCCGCACAACAATTCTCCACGTGGCGTGTTTCGCTAGCGACAAGACGACAGTGTGACAACACGCCGTTTGCACCGTAGGGAACGTGTTACAGTATCGCGCTTTCTAGTAACAGTATAGAATTTTCAAGATGGAGGATTATTTGTGGGGAAAACGGGTAGGTGATTTTATTCCGGTCAAAATTACAAGTAGTTCAGTTTCTAAAGGATGTGCTTGTGCTTTGCTTGTATGGAACTGAATCCGGTATCTAGTCATATATTTCTTCAGACCCTTCACCGCAGAGTTTTCTCTATATTCCATTATAAATATGCAGATTTGAGTTTGAAAATTTGAATCGAGAGACCAACGCATTTTTCTCCAATTCCGAAATTATGTCAGCATGCCTACAAAAAGTGAACCTACTAAACGTTAGTCCTTTGTGTTGAGAATCGTTTATAAAAGTAAATGACCAGTTGAACCTATTTTTCTGTTCGTTAAATGCGTTTGAAAAAATAAACAATGTTACAGTATAGAGCGAGGTGAGTTTTCTAAGGTTATAGTATAGACCGAGCGACTTTGATCCGAATTTGTTACATTTCGGTTACAGTTAAGATGCATGCCACATTTCAAATAATGTTTGTGAATCTATTATTTTGCTTTATAAAAAAAAACAATACTTTTCTATTTAATATATTCTTGAAAGTTGTATTATTGACATTTTTTCTTCAGCAGAAAAGTTGCAGTTTTAAACACACATTATAATGCATATTTGTTATAAAATAGAGAACAGGAAAGTACAACAGGGCAAAATTGAAAATGTTGCAGACTCGGTATGTTTAAGCCTGTTCATAACTGGAAGCTACCGTCCACGCCTCCTAGCACCAGCTTAAGCAGAATTTAACATGAAGTGGTAACTTTAAGAAATATTTTAACATCTGTAGATGTGTTAATATGGCGGCTACCATGAAACCTTCATTGTGACACATTAGTGCCATTTCATGAAAAGCGGCATATTGTCCCAAAGATTAAAAATTTGCGTGTGCCCTAAACGAGACTACAATGGATGAAACTACAGTCGAACTTCGTTCGCTCGAACTTGGAGGGCCTGTGCAATTTTGTTAGAGAGATCGGTAGTTCGAACCAACCGAGGTTGAACTACTATTACGTTGATCATATGCCTAAAGGTTTTTTAGCATACATCAGTCAAATGATAAATACGTCAATATGATTGTTTGTTAGTACATCTGTTCGTCGAATATGTCATATTCAGAATTATTATCCCAGTGTTTTCATTAAGTATTAACGGTACGCTGTGTTAATCTATATTCATGCATATTGTAATTGGCTGAGTTCGATTGGGCAATCAGACCAAACTTGTTGAACAATGTTCAAAATATATTTATATGTTTATAATGGGATTAATTTAATTTAAAAAAAAATAATGGAATATTTAAGAAAAAGTTTTACAGCAGCATCATGTCATTTACTAATATAAACACACGTACAAGTTCTAGATAGATAACACTGTTACTATTCACGTTACGTGAACTACGGTTGTAATTAAAGCCGTCCTGGTAAACGTCATTCTTTATTTCTCTTATTTCACAAGTTATTTTCTTTTTATCGTTACCATCAACGGCAAAACAACAATATTATCATAACAAACAAATCGGTTACAAGACCTCTTATTTTTGTATCAATTAACCTTTATTGCATTTGTCACGATCACGAGGTGTTAAAAAATATGTCGCCGACTGTCATTTATTAAGGACATGTCCACTTGTCTTTTTGTATTCGACCGAAAAGGTGTGATTTTCACTGTATTTCTGACGAAGGGACCAGAGATCAGGTTCGAAAATATATTACAGAATAAACTAAAATTATGACAAATTACATTCCTGTATTACTGTATAATAACCTTTGTGAATCATTTCAGACAAGAGCGGGCACCTGACTAGAACCACCGACCTTCCGTGAACTAGCTTTGATAGATTTCTCATATACAAGGAATCCAACGTCATGGCGGAATTCAACCACAGCAGTAAAAGAAAGACGATTTGAAGTCGGCGACCTTAACCCGACTCTGCCACTATTATGTACCTCCACCAGGCTCTACGGAAAATATATTGTAATTGTCTGACCTTATAGCTCGATATTTTCCTTTTCAGAAACATGAAAACTTCCAAACAGAATGTCAGAGATAAAAACACGACTTTTAATTCAACAATGACAAAATAATTTCCATTTCAACAAGGAAGCATTCGAAATGACGCCAGGGTCATGATTTGATCTTTCTTTGCAAAATGCTTCACAGCGAATGCTTTCTGGTTCGGGAAAAGAATGAATTATATTGCCTTTTTTAAAAATCTATATTTTTGGTTTTCGTATCCTAGATTGCAACCGAAACCATTTAAACAGCTTTGATAGAAATTCATGTAAATTTCATCAAATCTGGCCAAGTAGTTACTAAGCGGATGTCATTTGACACACATGTGTACGACAGACGGACGAATAGCCATCGGGCCAATAAGCTTAGATTGAAAAGTCTATAATATCATTTATGCATTTTACCTAGTGTATATTGAAAGTATGGAGGTCTAAACTGTAACCGAAATCTGGGTATAAACTGTAGCAAAATCAGATAAAAATCGATCTGTCTATGCTGTAACCCAGCACAATTCACATCGCTCTATACTGTAACATTGTTTACTTTTTCAAACGCAATTGACAAACAAGAAAACAGGTTCAACTGGTCATTTATTTTATAAACGTTTCTAAACACAAAGGACTAACGTTTTGTAAGTTTACTTTTTGTAGACATGCTTAAATAATGTCGGAATTGGAGAAAAATGTGTTGGTCTCTCGATTCAAATTTTCAATCTGTCAAATCAACACATTTATGAGACAATATAGAGATAAAACTGCGGTGCAGGGTCTGAAGAAATATATGACTAGATACGTGATCCAGTTCCTTCTAAGCAAATTACAAAAACATCTTTCGGAAACTGAACTACTTCTAGTATGGACCAGAATAAAATCATCTACCTGTCTTCCCCTCAACTAATCCTCCATCTTGAAAATTCTATACTGTAACCGGAAAGCGCGATACTGTAACACGTTCCTGCGGTGGTTTGGCGCGTTTCGGTAGCGAGAAGACGAAATGGCGATAACAATATAAGCTGTGTTGTGCTTTCGACAACGCATCGCGCTATTGTACCAAATCAGCCACCATACACATAGTTACATTAATAACTGTATAAGTTTTGACAGACTAATTGATTGCACATGTCGGCGCTTTAAATTGTCCTTGAAGTTTAGCCTAAACCTTTCGTTCAGATATAGTATAAATCCTGAGACTCATTATTTTAACACATCTTAAAATCTTGAACTTGATTTTGGTCTTGAATATTTTTCTTTGAATGAACATTATTTTTGTTGAAGATAAAATGGCTTTATTTACTTTTCTTTTTTTTATTTTTCTTTTTGTTGTTTTGGTTATTGTTGTTGAGATTTTACTGACTACATTTTAACATCTGAACTGTTTCTGAGAAATAAACATATTTAGCAACATAATTGTGTTATATTTTATTTCACTACATATTAAAAGAACTTGAAAATATAACGGGCAACAATAACAAGCTTAGGCCGATGATATCCGGAGAGATTTATGTCTCCAGTTCATTTCCGACAGTCCGAAGTGAAATCAGTCATATTGGCTTGAGTCATACATGTTATTGTTAATCTTATACAATTTCCATTTTTCTAGAATATTCAATATTTTTTTTTATACAGCAATGGACAAAATACTGCAAAACCTAATCTCCCTTAGTAAAATGTTTTCAATCTAAGATAGAGTTGTTTGAATTGTACCCTCCCCTGCTAATAAAACAAAGATGACATCGCAAATTGCAACTCACTGTCGTTACCATCTCCACCCGAATTTGGTTTTTGTCTTCATATGCCATAACTTCAAAAACCTCGCTTTCTTGTCGGGGTGCAGAACGTGGCCCAATAACCTGTTTGATATATAAATAAGGTTGGCTGCATATTACTTAAGCCTTTCTGTTTCAAACATTTCATACTTTAAAGAACCTACATGTTTCAATAAAGGATGTTACGACATTTAAGAGAAATTATATATATGAATTAAATCCTTTTGAAAAATGTGACTCAGACTTTACAGAAAATAAATGTCTAATTATCTCCCTTTATTGGCATGAAATGTAAATTCGGTAATGAAATGTAAATTCGGCAGTTTCCTTATAAACAATGCTTTTTGGAACTTACAATATTGATAAATATTCATTTGGGCATTATATTTATGATATCAAACCTACATGATCTTTAAAGTATTGTTTCAACGATAGTTTGCCATTTTTGCATAAAATCTAAGCACAAACGTGCAGTTATTGCACGCTTTTAATATGCGTGACTCAGGGCACAATTTACAAAAAGCATACTGCAATGGCGTCATCCACAGTTGTTAATTATCAAAACAAAAATGTCAAATGACATTTCGCTAGCAAGTGGAAAGCATGTCAATATGCTGTTTGTTGCATATTTTAAAAAAGAAACATATAAATTAGGCGTATATTTTTACAAAGATACGCTAATGCACATATTTTTTCGTTCATTTATATCTGAAGAAGTCCTCAAACTTTTTCAAACCCTCGCCCTTCGGGTTCAGGCTTTAAATGCATCTTCGTACGTCTGCAGATATTAAAGTACAAAAAGGCATTAACCCTATGTAGCATATTCGAAAAGTCATGCCACCAGATTTAACTTCATGTACATGTTCAGATGAATTTAATTTCTACAAAAGATTGAATGAAGTTATCTAACTTTGCAAATCCACAGTTCATCCATATATGTTAAAATGCAGCATTTTCTCTTACACTCTTAATTTCGGGGAAGGATTTTGATGATTTAGATAGTGATAATTATTTGTCTTATTTAACATAATGCCAACATAGTGAGTTATCCCTTCCCTCCCCCCTAACAAACCAAGAAATAAATAAAATAAAAAAGGATTATGGCGCTTCCTCTGTCCGTGAAAAACACCTGCTACGTAATAAAAGCCTAGCAATTCATTAACTTAAAAGTGAAATGACTCGGCAAACGTACTTTAAATCTAAGAGGATTACTATCTGATGTTGAAAAAATAGCAAGTGCTTTCCCGTCGCTGTTTAAGTCTTCTTCCTTAGATTCAATAAAGCTACCATCTTTAGCAATTCTTTCCACTGTGATTTTCGCACCGGTTGCAGGTGCACCGTCTGGAGTATACACATCAACCTAATAATGTTGAAACGTGTATTTGTGACAAACGATTCTGTAACATAATTAAGCTATACATATATACACAAGCAAATTCGTTGGATTTATATCCCCCGCCAAGTACTGATTAATACTTACACAACAACTAGAAGCTTTATTTACATACATTTATCATGGCATTCGAATTTCCTTTTCATATTGAAATCAATCTGGCAGTTGGAAAGAATTAGCAATATTGCTATATATGCATACTGCACACCTAATTAACGGCCATAACTCTGTCTTAAAGAGTCTGACCGTAACAAGGCAACGATATGCACATAAAATTTTTGTATTGAAAGTTCTCAAAAAGTTTTATTGAATTCAAGCAAGTTGTTGCAGAGAAGTAATGCAGAAACGATTATAGCTCTATATGCATACTGCATAACTAAGTAAGGGCTATAACTCTGAGTTATAGGGTCTGACTGGAACATGGCAACGAAATGCGCATCTCCTCTGGATATTAATGATTCCCATAAAGTTTTGTTGAATTTTAGCTGGTAGTTGCAGAGAAATAGCGCTGAAACAATTATTGCGCAATATGCATACTGCATAAATAATCAAGGGCCATAACTCTGAGTTAAAGGGTCTGACCGGAACAAGGAGACGATATGTGCATCTCGTTTTGGTATTGAAGGTTCCCATAAGTTTTGTTGAATTCCAGCCAGTAGTTGCAGAGAACTAGCGCGGAAACAAACATGACTCTATATGCATACTGCATAAATAATCAAGGGCCATATCTCTGAGTTAGTGGGTCTGACCGGAACAGGGCGGCGATATGCGCATCTCCTTTTAATATTGAAGCTTCCAATAAAGTTTCGTTGAATTATAGCCAGTAGTTGCAGAGAACTAGCGCGGAATTCGGACGGACGGATTGACGGACGGACGGACAACGCCAAAACAATATTCTCCTCCAGATTTCATCGGCGGGGGATAATGAAACGGAAGCGGTGTCCTAGTGATGGTTATGGTGTTTGTCTCTCGAAAAATGTGTTTGTTGGCTCGAGCTGTGGTAGCGAACATGTTTCCTCATATTACACCTGTACTAGTAAGTTTTAGGCTCGCGAGGAAACAGAATAAAATGAATAAACATAAACATGTAAACAAACTGTAATAAACGTTTCAAAGGAATATTAGACTTGGTTGATTATTCAGAGCAACTTGTTGTTGCTAAAATTTAGATAAAGATTTGCTATGAGTGATATTGTAATCTTGTCATTTTGCTAACCATAATAATTTTCACTATTACAATTAGTATTTGTGCTAATGTACAGTACCTTGCATTGTTTCTATAGTAACAGTAACCTGATTGATAAATACATATATGACAATTACGTATACCTTAGCAAAGTATTTCATTCCTGGTCGGAAGTATCGCTTAGATCTAGTAAATTTGAAAATATACAATTGTCTAGCAAATACTGTCGCATCGTTAAATGTGCTTTCCTCTTTCCCTGTCGCACTTTCAAACACTGTAGCGATAACTAAAAGTCGACTTCCATCCGGAAATAGTTCCTTTTTTTCCTCCTCGGACCCGAAATTATCACCTATCTTTATACTGAATTCTGCTATTCCCTGTTCAAGCTAAAACAGAAAGAATATATATTGAACCACTCCATTAATATTAAAGCACAAATATATAACTTGTACTTGTAATAAATACATATACATCGTTATTGTTATACTTAAAGAAGAATCAAATATTACTCAAACTTGAAATGTGTCAATACTAAGAAATTGATTTTCCCTTGCATCCTTCCGCTTTGAGAGCATCACAGACAGACAAGAGCAAATGCAATTCTTTAGTAGTTGGCATACAAACAATGAATGGCTTTGTTTTTTTTTAGCTAAACTAACAATTCGCCCAACTTGCCAAATGTATGAATGCATTATCATTAACATGTCTTTGTTTGCAAATAGCAACTTTCCAGCTTAACTCATGATAGAATGCAGCAGGAAATATCCGTGCATTATTTCAGGCATTGTGAACAACCAAACTTCCGTATATTTGCTTCATAGCTTTGGACTCCGAAGTGCGGTGTTACATAGCTTTCTCATATACAAGAATCTGCGTCAATAACCAATTTTTAATCATACCATTTGAAATTAATCTGCTACATTGTTTCTTTGACATAGGATATTGTTTCGTTGTCTTTTTGTCCATTCAGTCAATATAATCTATTCACACAATCTCTTACTTTTGCGCACTACCTGGTTGCCTTAATTGTTACAATACTTTAAGCTACATTAAATAAATTTCATAAACTAGAAATAGCTACATTTCGTTGATTAAATATGTTTCATATCGACTCCCGTTCTTACTTTGGTGTCCAGACAACCAAAATGAGTTTTGTAAGTCTTAAATTCTGCAACTTCATTGTGGCCAAAAATCGAAAGTACAATTTCCATTTTCATGAGAAACTTCGCCTTTGGGTCATCCGTATATCAATGGATATCAAGAAATATTTTTTAAGTAGCAGTCCGAATTTAACGGTATATTTTGCATTTTATTACGAATGTTTTCATACAAATTCGTTGTTTTTATGAGATGATTACTTTTTTGTGAACAGCAGTGCTAATGCACCGTGAAACCAAAACGGTAAAAGTTTATTTTCACAAGAATATCTCTAAGTGTCCAACTTTATTTGTCATCCAATGAAAACGCTGTATTTCTTCAGAATTATGTGCGTTAATTTTCATAGAAGAACAAAAACCGATACTATATCGAATTTCGTTCATAGTCGACTTCTATTTTTCATAGCACTTCATAAAACTGCATAGTGACGTAATAAAGTAAATTAATGAGGCAAAATAAAGTTGACACTAGGTATGTTAGTATTCATCATAAACTGTTCTACAGAAATTAGAAACATTCTCCAGTCGCTATCGCTCCCGTCGAAGTTTCTTATTTCTGTAGAACAGCTCGGATGGACACTAGTGCCCAACTTTATTTGTCATCCAATGAAAGCGCTGTATTTCTTTAAAATTATGTGCGTTTATTTTCATAGAAGAACAAAAACCGATACTATATGTCGAATTTCGTTCATAGTCGACTTCTATTTTTCATAGTACTTCATAAAACCGCACAGTGACGTAATAAAGTAAATTAATGAGGCAAAATAAAGCTTGAAGTATTCATCCTAAACTGTTCTACAGAAATTAGAAACATTCTCCAGTCGCTATTGCTCCCGTCGACGTTTCTAATTTCTGTAGAAAAGCTCGGATGGACAAATAAAGTCGGTTTTTGTTCTTCTATGAAAATAAACGCACCGAATTTGGAAGAAATACAGCGTTTTCATTGGATGACAAATAAAGTTGGACACTTAGTGTATTTAGTGTCCAACTTTATTTGTCATCCAATGGAAACGCTGTATTTCTCCAAAATAATGAGTGTTAATTTTTATAGAAGAACAAAAGTCGATACTATATCAAATACTGCTCAAAGTCGCTTTCTATTTTACATAGTGCTTCATAGTATCGCGTTTGTAAAAATAGTCATTTGCAGAAATTTGCACATGCGCTTTCGTGGGCCGCTTTTGAATATTAATTAAGTAAAAATGACGTCAAAAGGTCAACCTACATTATGTTTGCATTTATTGATAAAGGATATACATGCAGTTTAGATTTAAATCGACGTCTTTGCGAAAAATGATACTGCATGTGTTAAAGTAAAAACCAATACAAAAAGTAAATTCATATTTTTTTATTACGAATGTAGAAAACGGTCTTAATTAATTTGTAACTAAGAGGAAAGTCACGTGTGTCTATTCACTTTTTTTCGGTAGACAGAAAGTGAAAGTATTTTTTGGAAAATATATTACGTGACCTCGTGTTAACACATGACAATTAGTGTATAAATCATAATTATAAGATATTAGCTACTGAGTATCAGTTGTCCAATTCATCAAAGTGTATAAATCATATCAGCACACAATTATCTAACTCATCAAAACTTTTTTGAAAATAAATTTATGTTTCAATATCGAGCAAATGGAAACTCGCATCAGCCATATGCCGCAACTGACACACAAGGGGGTACATTGTCTTCGCGCAAAGTGACGTAAATCACGCATATTTATAAGGTTAAATTTTAAACCCACCATTCAGGTAATTGTTTTGTAAAGCGGACTGGTAGTGACGTAATAAAATGAATATTAATAAGGTCAAATACAGTTTGACACTAAGTATGTTAGTATTCATCCGTAGCTGTTCTACAGAAATTAGAAACATTCTCTGTTGCAACCGCCCCGTCGAAGTTTCTTATTTCTGTAGAACAGCTCGGATGAACACTTTCATATACATACTTGCTGTGATCCACATGGTAACAAATGACGTAGCGCCTACATGAGCTAAATTAATAATATAGGCTTCATTTGCATGTTAAAATTTGTATACGAACTTAAGTGCAACCGCGGGGTTTTCCTTTTAAAATCATAAATGATGAACAATATTTAATGAGATTAACAACAATACTGTTAAACTATAGAATGCTCGGTTTTTAAGCCGACGGAAAAAATATGTTTACATATTTATTTAATGTAGCTTTAATATATATATATATATATAGTTTTTTTTATATTTCCTTATTCAAAACTAACTGCCCTCCAATGAATTTTAACTGAATTTAATATAACAATACAAATATTTACTACGCAAAAGTCAAGAGCCTGGTAAGACACAGATGTGCATACGCCGATTATTGCCGCCGGCAATTCATTTCTTATGAATTTATAAACAAACATACACTGACAGAAATACTAGTTTTGTAATTTATTCTTTTCTTTTTTAATTATAAAAATAACCTTTTCAACTCACAGATCCCAAAATGAATATATATTACAAAACGAAAGACGAAAGTTGTCGAAAGAATTCATACAAAATGATGGTTTAAAAACTATACAGAGATATAACACTTACATCTTTTCGGTTCATATCAAGAAGATATTTATTCTCTCCACTCTCGTGTGTGACATTTAAAGACAATCTTGCCTTTCCTGCTACCGGCTTCCCGTACACATACCTTGATAATGAACAATAACTGTGTGTTGACTAATACTTTTTTTAAAGATAGTATGAGCAAAGAAAAAGTTCTTAGTATATACAACAAGAGCTGTCGGTAGGACAGCAACGCTCGACTATTCTTAGTGCTTGATAGTATATTCTTAGTGCTTGATAGTAAAGAGCCTTGATAATGTAAAATTTTAGTTAACAAAGGGGCAAAAATCTTTATTTTAATCCATGTTACAGTTATAGGCCTTCAAGATGCCCTATAATGCTCTCAAAGAAGAGTATAAAATTTCAACTTGTTTCAAAGCCAGATGTCAATAGAAAATATCTAAGGTGGTATGCAAACTTTAATGTAAATTCTAAGTTGAAAAGGGGGCATTTCTAACAAGTGTGCAAAGTTTCAAAGCCATTTGTCGACGGACTTTGAAAATAATTGAAGTGTTACAAAATTTTAAGATAATTTCTAAATAAAAAAGGGGCAAAATTTAGACAAAATGCTTGATACAGTTACTTCCTCCTGTCTACAGGTTGGGGTCATGATGGTGAACAAGTGTGCAAAGTTTCAAAGCCATATGTCAATGAAAATATTTGAGATATTACAAAAACTTTTACATAAGTGGTTTCGCCGACACCGACGCCGACGCCGACACTCGGATGACTACAATAGCTCGACTTATTCTTATCGAATAGCCGAGCTAAAAACGACCTCAAATACTCCGTAAGTCCATACAAATTATTTTTTTAACTGCTGAAAATTCCGGACCTGGGTAGAACCACCACTTTTCCATAAGCTAGCTGGATAGCTTTCACAAATGAAAAAAATCCAAAGTCAAATTCAAATCCATGTGTAAATGGATTGCTCTAAATATATACAAAAGGTAAACTTAGTCAGGAATGAATTATAACCGTACAAAATGTCTTCTTAAGTTAACAAAGAGCAATATGACTATCAGCCAGAAATTATATAATCTAAGCCCAAAAACAAAAAGCACCTTTTTCAGATGTGTCAAATTTTCAACCAAAATAACTGCAGTAGATTGTCCCCCTTTATTTTAGTTGGGACATGTTAAAACCTCACACCAATGAAAATACTCCATACGAAAATGAAGGGGAACAATCTGCCGCCGCAATTACTTTCAGTTTGGATTGAGAATTTTACACATCATAAAAAGTGCGTTATAGTTTTATGTGATGATTTGATCGAACAGTTATTACAAATAATAAATTAATTTGTCATGTTCAAACGTGGAATTCAAAAGATTGTTCATTCATTTCGAATAAACTGCCGTTCAGTCGGGTAATTTTAACAAAAATCCATCGGTCACATCTCAGCCAACTAACACTTGTGGCAGTGATTAATCTAGATGTGTGTCTTGCGTTAAATACGCATAAAAATCGAAAAAGACGCACAGTTTCAAAATATGTGCGTTCAATCTGACGCATGCAAATCGGGAAGTTTATAATCCAAAATATCACGATTAGTGATTTCTATGTACAGATTGATTACTTTAATTTCATTAGTTGAATAATTTTTCAATTTCTTCAGTTGAATAATTTAATTTCCGATGATAACAAGTGCAAGACTAGCTAATCCCTCATTTGCTTTAAACGTTAAATCCCAAGCAATTGTTGCTTGTGATCGGTAACCTCCCATTATCGGCATTAGCCAATCAGAGCGGCCTTTTTTTTTTTCATTAGAGCGATTCGCCTACAATGGTGAAATATGCAGACATTGGCGCTAAAAATGAGAAGGGCACAGGAAAATCGTCAGCAAATGGCCAAAGGCTTATATTGTATGTTATTTAGTCATCCAGACAAAACTGGTACCAACAGCAACAGGTTACCCATTCCCCTGTAATTACGCATATTCTTGAGTTTATCCATTTCCCTATAGCATTTTTCCAAGTTATCTACTTACCTAATCCCTTTCCGACCTACTACTGCATTTCTACTACCGTAAATTTAATCCAATAAAGCAAACAAAAAATCATTAATCTACTTAATATTTTAAATAATTATCGGTAACTGAAAAAAAGTGTTGCTATTTTAAGAAATGCTGTAAGTTACAGTATAATCTGACAGGTGTGTAATGATTTCCCCTAAGGTCACTCAAGTTCACGCGGAGTGTAAAAAAAAAGATGTCTATTACGTCATCAGAATATTTGACAGGGTGATTAACCAATCAGGGTAACATTGTGCATGACCAAAAGGTCTGTCTGTGTATGCTTTCTACACAGAGGCATACAAGGAGCAATAAAAGTCGTCAGTATGTATACAGTGTGAGAGGGACATTTTGTGCAAATTACGAACAATTAAAATGGATAATGCACAGTATTAGACATAAGTAGTAAGAAAATATAAATTATGCAAATTAGATTTTTGAGCAGCCAATAAAAATTGTTTTTTGCCTGCAATTAATATTAGTACCAAAAATAACTTTTTTATGCACTTTAATTACTTAATCGCTTGTTATAAAAACATGCAAATCATGTCAAGAATCTGCTATTAAAAAGACGCATTTATTTTGCTACATGACTCATTGATTTTGCTACAGGACTCATTGTTTTCAAACATGTGCGTCATCCGACGCATTGTAAGGAATTTCTAGATTAATCACTGTTGTGGTGACTTGGAGATTGCATATCTTCTTATGAATTGAAATCATTGTTATGACAGCTTTATTTCCGTTAAGAGTAATCAATTCCCTACCATTCGGTACCATGATTTTCAAATTTGGTGAAAAAATGTTGGAGTTATTGAGTTCACATTAAGATGAGCGCTGAAAACTGAGCGGCGAGATGATTACCTTTACTTAATATATAGGCATCATTTCTTATTTATAGGAAATTACATTAAAAGCATATATTGAATATAACAACATATTCAAAATGAAAAAAAGACTTCAGTTTAGATTGTTTTGGAGAGGAGGGAGGGTTGTAGAGTGGGTAAAAGGGGTGGGGTGGTGACCAATTATTGCGCCGAACAACACTATGTAACACAAAACTGAGATGAAGTACAAAACACTGGCCGCGTATTTTAGAGACGCATTACAACTATTGTTACCTGATGTTTATTTGAGATATGTTGGAAAGACAAATTCGTTCACATATAACAGAGTCACTTACTGAAGGAAAACTTAAATCTGCAGCCAAAACGGAATATTTGCAGCTAAGATTATCTTTAAATGCCTAAAGCAAGGGTGGTTAATTAATACGTGTCCTTAAACTTCTGTATAGATACGGATTTGTCGTGTCAATAACATGTCAAGTTATTTTACTCTAAAACTAAAATGCATTCCTTTATGCATTGAATGTAAGTTCTCAATAATTTCATTTACTTTGAAATAAAAAAGGCAATGAATATGTACATACTTAGCTATAACTGTTATGTCAATCTTGCTTTCCTTGGATTGATTCAACAAAATGTACGGCTGGGACACGTCAATGGTCACACCAAATGTCGGCAAAACTGAAAACATCATTTTCACACTTGGAGAGTACAGAAAATACCCAAATATTTTTAATGGTAGGATATTATCTGAAAAATGCTCTTTTTTGTGTAAAAATCCAGTTGACTCAAAGGAAAAATATGTGTCTATTCTGTAAGAAATTGTTAGAATATCAAAGTATGCTGTACCGCACCAAAGACTGGCTTAAGTACTTGATAAATGTTTTAAAAAAACGTTTCATGTTTTACTGCCTAGTTTAGTCCTGAAAACGGGTTGCTGTTGCTTTTTTCTTCTTAAATACTCCCACTCGGACTTCCAAACAAAATTTATCCCCTTTTCAGACTTAAATAAGACAGTAAAACTTCAAACGTTTTATTTTTAGAGTACATCAAGTGTGTATATTAAAATGAATTTTCTTAAATCGTTTATGCTTTCAGCAACTGACATTTCTTAGTGAGTGACTAAACATTTCAGAAACATATTTTAAGTGAGCAATATGTGAAAATTAAACACATTTTTCAAATGTTAAAATAATTCAAGAGTCGATTGTATCCGAAACGCTGTATAAAACTTTGCAATGCTAATCTCGTGAGAAAGTATACGCAGATTTATTTTCGCTGACAGCTGAATTAAATAGGTTAACAGATAAGAGATTTCCAAAACTATGTACTTGAACGATTTTCCCTGTGTCTTGAAAATAGAACTTTTTACTACCAAAATGCTTGTTCTTGATTTACCCAAATCTTTACCACAATTCGCGTGGCAACTTGAAAGCTGTGGCATGCGCACGTGCTCACGTATTAGCTATAGCGTGCGCATGGAATAAATTAATTGTATCCCCTTTATGCCACCGGAAATATAACATTGTATTTTTTTGAAAGTTAATGAATTGACAAAGTCAGATTTAGTGCTTAATTATAAAAGTAATGAAATTTAAATAAATACATTACCGTATTCTTCAATTTGAAAAAAAGACCTTGCCACTGTTTCATACTAAAAAGATAAAAAAAATAAAAAAAATTACGTAAATATACAAGAGTTTTCTCATATAAAAGAAACCGTTTAACTATTTTACCGAGTAAACAACTTTGGATGTACAGTTTTCACGTGTTAAAGAATTGTTTTAGCGTCGAATGTACATAATCTGTGGTTATAATTTTACGATAATCCCTATTGACCGTCATTAAGTCATTTAACCGTAGTTTACACAGTAAGGTATCGTTATCAAAATTCCTTTTAGTGCCTTCAAGTGAAAACAAAATTACACCACATTTATTTTCATATCATGTTTTAGAACCAAACCACACATACCTGACCACCATAGAATGCACGAGCTGTCCATGTTCCAATTTCCGGGTAAGGCGGTAAAGAAAAAGCATTTTGATAAAATCCGCTGGACTTTGTGTTTGTAAATACTCTTCTGCCGAGAGTCAGGTTTGATGGGCTCTGTGAAAAGGTTTTTGAAAGACAAATAAAACTCTTAAACATTTGAGCTTTTATTCTAAAAGTTTGAAATATAAAATTACAGAAATTACGAAATAACGTGTACGTGTGTTCAAGCACGATTGTTGTGACTCGGTTTGATTGAGCCTGTTCATGGACGGTAATGGTTAGTGAAAGTTACCACCCATGTGCACCACCCACCTTAGCACCGGCTGACTCAGAATTGAACATTTTCATGGAATGGTAAAATTTGAAATTTTGAAAAATGCCTAGATGTGTTAACCACGCTCTGAACTTCTAGATAACCTAAGACAAAAATTGCATTAACGCGGTCCAGAGCTCCCCTGTAGTTTAAGGTCTTAAAATTTATCGTTTTACTCATGCATCAACTTACGACAATATCCATGGTTATCTGCCATTGATTTCCAGACACCCTCTTTAAGGACTCGTCAAGAGCTAGAACTCTTATCTTCACTAGAAATTAAAACAGCATGATGATAAATAACTTTTATTTTGCATTTTATGTTTGAAAGTTATATAAATTGTGAAGATAATAGACCTCAAATCAGGATCTGGGAAACCGTCGACCATCTTTGTTGAAAGTTTTCTTTTACATTTGCGCCAAAACCTTATGATAAATGTTATGCGACAACTTTGAATTGGGTAAAATAATTCGAGTCGAATCTGTAAAAAGTTCCGTTTAACATCGTTACTTTCTGTATCTTGATTTCATGGCAGCATGTAACGATTAGTCGCACATTAATTTAACGATTTATTTTTAACAGTGCGTACATTTCATGTGTTTTGTAATAGAAAAAGCATCGAAACACGAGGCTATCTGATTTTACCAGGGAGCGTAGCCCACGAGTATTATTCAGATTGCCGTGTAGTTTGATGTTCTTTCTCTTTTGTATCATAGTCGAACATAAAAACACGTACCCTGTTACAACCCCAGAAAAAAGTAACCAATGAACGACGATCTAAATATGATATTTCTGTCGCTTTCCGTTTCTCTGCCGTCACAATAAGTAAACCCCAGCAAAAATGAGCAAATCAATGGGCATGCTTCAGAGTGAAAGTAACTAATTACTGCACTCCAGTTACAGTGTAGCAATACCACGTGACTATGACGTCATTTTCGGCATCATTTCCAAGACAAATATTGCTCGATTCGGAAAAGAAAATAGCCGTAAATATTTTATTTCTGTACCAATTTCTTTGGGATATGCACCAGTCTACGGGGGAAAATATAAGCTTTCCACAGAATATTGGATCTTCGTCAGTTTATAAGCCGTTTTATTAAACACTTTGCATAACCTTGAAAGTTGCTTGTATTAGAGCGGGCTTCAGTTGCAAGCTATTTCGTTTTCTGGCGTTATTTGGTCTACGCCATAATTAATAGGTCAGGTTTACATCAATCGAGCAACATTTGTCTTGAAAATGATGCCGAAAATGACGTCAATGTCACGTGGTATTGCTACACTGAGTTAACCACTGTGCATGTAAATGTTTACGATTTAACCAAAAGTCCCCAAACAATGATACAATTATGTGAATCTGAACGTTCGCGTGATTTTATGTTTGTTGTGATTTTATGCTTGTCATGTTTTTTTTTATGTTGTCGTAATTTTCAAGCTTTGCCATTCAAAGGCGTAAATTACTATTTTACTTATTCAAAACTTTTAAAATTAATATCAAAAGTAGATCTAAAGTTATTTTTTACCTGCTGTCTATCCAAATTTCTCTATTAAAATGAATTCAAAAATGAAAAGGTTACACACGAAAATCAATTGACCAATCAGACAGATAGAAACATCTCTGACCGGATATGACCTTAGGTGATTTTTCTTTTAAAATAAAGTAACAAAAGGTTGATACATCATCCTTACCGTGGGGCAAAACGGATGTCAAGTTGATATTAGATTGTTTTTAAATTGTTACTGTGTTAGAATGAGGTTGAAATGTTTGATATTTAATACTCTGTTTAATACTTTTTTTTCTTTTTTTTTTTATAAGACAGGAAGGATTTTGTCGTATTATACTGTTTACACATCATATTAATATAAATGACAAGTCGACATGTATATACATATATAAAGGTTTTTATTTCATAGTGTGAACTGTGAAACATGACATTGATTTATATATATTATAGTACAAATACATGCAGGCTGGGCTGGAAAGTAATGATATGTCAAAATGATTGATGAGAGTTCTGCATGTAACTCTAAAACGCGTGCATATATTTACATTATAGTTGTCATTATTGAAGCTGTCATTATATATACGATTCTCAATGTCCAGTAGACAGTTCGAATTTGGTTCTTTACTTGTACACGTGTGTATTTGTATATTAGAAGTATGAAACATTTGTGAGTTCTCTCTCCGTTATACGACAACGGTTGATTTGGTGTCGTACGTGTTAGGATGTAAGGAAACTAACATGGTCCTTCATATTGTCACGTGTCCTCGCAATAAACAGCGTTTAACCTGGCGTTTCTTTGCACCGAAAAGAAACTTATAAAATTATGACTTGCCATAATAATACTATTTATACACGAAATATGATAAAATATAATATATCGAATCTACACAACGTTCATTGTAATTCATGTGTTATTTCAAATCTACCATTTTCATTTTGTCATAGTAATACGTAGGACCAACCTTTCTGTAGTGGTGTGTATATAGGTTTGTCCGTCTGTACGATCAGATAGCCCGTCTTATAGCTGATTACTATCTCATTGCATATTTCGTGTTCGACTCCTCGCCGTGAGCATAAGTGAATAAACCTTGGTTTTCCTTCTATAACAGTGTCAAAAATATCCGACTCTGTCACTCTAACAGTTGTGTTCACTGGGTTTTCTAAAAAAATAAAAAACACTGCAAAATAAAAGCGTTTGACACAACGTAGCTAGTACCAGCAATATCAAACTTGACTTAAAGGCATATGCTTATAATGCTAAGAAGCCGATTTTTAAAACAAAGCGGGTCTCATCTCTTTTTATAATTCACTTTATCTCCTTAGAGAAACATTGATATCGGTGAATTTGTCAACAATTTTAAACATAAATATTATATTGAAGGTTCATTTGCAACAGAGATGTTTTTTTTTTTCAGTTCTCAAAATATAACTATTTTGGTGCAATTTTATTTATAATTTCAAAATGTTGATAGTTAGTCAATATCCTGAAAAATCTTGTTCTTCTAATGCTTTTACTACTATTAATGAAAGTCAAAATTGTTTACTATTTGCTACTTTTCTACAATTTATTTCACTTTTAGCGTAACTTTCGGGTGTAGCAAGCATCTAACATGCTCCCAAACCTTTATTTTAATGTAAAAAATCATGTTTGTCTTCCTAAAGAAAGAAGATTTATTCAAGGCATTACATGCCTTTAACTTACTCTCATTTGGAACTGTCAAAGTTTGCAAGGAAAATATAGTACCCCTATGCTCAAGCCAGACCTAGAATAAAACAATATAAACTTATATGTCAGAAGTAGAGAAAATAATGACGTTAATCATTTTACAAATGTTGCCACAATCTATCAAATTACTGGTATATACACCTACAGTCACTGATTGCTTCAATTCTTCATTTTTCTTTTACATGTATAAACACAATAAGTAACAGTCTCACATTCATTTTACATTAGTATTTGTTCAAAGGCGGGCCTTATTACTGATTTATTATCACTTGCTTGTGACAGTTATCCCAATGCGTTTTTGCATTCACACTGAGCGCTCAATGTTATAATCTAATCATAGGTGGACCTTTTCGATAATGGATTTTATAGCGTTTTGTTATTAGACGGCGCGTGCACGCGCCGTCTAGTAGATATGCATTTGTCCGTATAGCAATGGGGAAAATATTAGACTTGATTTTGTGCATTTTTTTTGTTTTAACAAAATCAAATTGTTTTCAAATTTTCTAATAAAAATAGCTTTTCTGATGTACAACATGTCACAGAGCTTTAAAGGATTAAAATAAACGTTTAACTGAAGTGATAGTGTCATGTTTGAATATCATATTTTTTTTATAATTATCTTATTTTATCTACCTAATAAATAACGTGCCAAGGAGCCAGTCTATAGTCGATCATTCTAAATTCCGTTGAGACCCGTCTATAATCTAACAAGAGGTATCACTAAAATATGAAACGGAGATTATTTTGGCGCTACGGACACAGCGGAAATATTTTTTGCAAAGCAGACAAAACGTGTGCCGCATGTTATTCATTTAGATAATTAACATTTAAGTAAAAAAAAACAGATTAACTGAGTGAAAAAGTACGCTTATTTTAAAACGTATCACAAATATTTGCAATAGGTTATTTTGAAGGATTCTGTGACCGACGATTGTTCTCTTTTACTACAGGGATCGGACACTCCCAGTTAACCCTATATAAATGCTTAAATATCTTGTCGTGCACCCGATAAAGGTACATCGATCGATAATTTACCGGCGCGAAGCGTAAATGCCCGTTCGCAACGGATACCTACTTTACAAAATACAATATAGCTTTTCCATTTATTATCCGATTTTAAAAATTTAAAGTTTATTTTGAAGAAAAATACTTGTTTAATTCAAATATCTAATTTAGTTTATCTGTCCGCAACGACGATTAAAAAAATTAACTTGACGAACTCCGCGGTAAATTTACATTTTTCATATAAAAAGCAGGTATTTGAAATTTATTATTATGGTAACATAATAAATTCAATTTCAAAATAAAAAAAGAAGCTGATGTAAGTTATTCACAGATGATCAAAGATGCAATATTTAGGATTTATTGGGTTATGTTGTCAAATTTACTAACGCACAATTGTTTTACGGGTAATGCATTGCGGGCTTTACAATTCGCTCAACACGTGAAGAAAATTTATTCATTTTTAAACACAAAATATTGCCGAGATTTTAAAATTGCCATATTCATAGAATATTGAAATTTCATTCATCATTTATACCATTATTATTTTTTGTAAATCTGTTTTCAAAAGTCGGTGCAGTGTATGAGGGCGATCGTTGCCAAAATTCCAGACATGTAAGGTGTTCCTTTTGAAAACTACTTTTGAAAATGCGAACGGGTATGTCTAGAATTTTTTTTTATTATATTCGTGCACAGCAAATGATATGCCTCTTAATCCCGTCTTTAAATTGAAGGCACCCGCTTTTAAATAACAAGTTTACATGTAAATCTAAACAACTGACCTAACATGGAGAACAACAACAAATTTACAAGTTCGTATCTTCCACATAAGCATTTTTGCACACTTGTAGATATCTATATGTACCTGAAAAATACAAATGAAATGTAAAACTCGAATACAGAAAATAGAATTTAATAAAACGTGTTTCCAGTCGTAGAACTACAACAGAACGTTTACACTGTAACATGTTTAAAATGACAAAAGTAGATTCACAAAGTTAAACGATTTTAACTCATGCATGACGCCCCGCCCCTCTCTGAGTATTTACGATCTTCTATTACGGAAATGTACGGACAGGTATAATACCCGTCGCCTTTCTCCTATTTCTCAATAAAGTGAAGGAAAACACGGCGTCCATTCTAACTTTTTTCATTTCTATAAAAGTCAAATATTTTTGGTATCAAATGAAAGATTACTCCATAAGCTTTCTATGAGTGCCTCAGAAATAAAAATGAATTAAATAGATGTATTGAAATGTTTGTTTCAAAATTTATCATTTTTCCTCTGAAAATGACACTTTCGAATTGGTTAGATAAACACGGCGTTCCCTCCAAACTTTTTTTTATCTCGTAATCAATTTTGATAATTTTGGATTGAAATAAAAGTGTGCTTCATACGATTTATGATACATAATTATATAATGCCTAAAAATAAAAATGAATTAAATCAAAATGAATTAACTTTTCGTTTTAAAGTTTATCATGTTACTTTCTGTAAAATAGAGAAAATAAGAATCCCTAAAGAACGCTCAAAACGACAAAATTGAGAATGTTGCAGTTGAGCCTGTTCATGGACGGTAATGGAAAGTGCAAGTTACCGTCAACGCCCCTAGCACCGGCTTAAGCAAAATTCAACATTTAACATGAACTGGTACAATTTTGAATTTTGAAAAATCCGCAGAAGTGTTAATATGGCGATTATCATGGAACCTTCAATGTGACACGTAAGTGCCATTCCATGAAAAACGGCACATGGTCCCCAAGTAAAAAAACAAAACACACACTCTGAAATTCAGCAAGAGAAACATGTCGCCCCCTACTAACTCTTTATTTTATTTCTTGGTCAATTTTTATAATTTTAGATTCAAGTAAAAGAATCCTTCATGAACTTTCTAGTGATGCCTAAAAATGAAATTTAATTACGTAGACGTATTAAAAATTTTGTTTCAAACTTATCGTTGTTTATTTTTTCTCTCTTAAAATAGAGAAAAACAGAATCCCTAAAGAAAGTTCAACACAACAAAATTGAAAATGTTACAGGCTCGGTTTGATTGAGCCTGTTCATGGACGGTACTGGAAAGTGCAAGTTACCGTCCACGCCCACTAGCACCGGCTTAAGGAAAATTCAACATTTAACCACACTCATATATTCGGCAAGAAAATCACGTCGCTTCCTTAAGACACTTTATTCAAAAAAGAAAATGAACAAGTACATTAAAAATCTGGAAATAAAGTGATCCCTCGGAAGCATTGATCACAACAAAATTACATAAGAATTGCAGACTCGGTTTGATTGAGTCTGTACATGAGGGATAATGAACAAGTGCAACATCCCTCACGCCCCCTAGCACCGGCTTGAGCGGTACTCAATTCTCAACACTTAATAGCGCTGGCATCAATGATCCCGAAGGACCAGGAAAATATAACAACACTGAAGTGAAGTACGGGGCAACTTTTTACAGCTGCCACACGGCACTTGACACCTGCTGTTATGAAGTATAAAAATCTGGAAACAAAGTGATCCCTCGGAAGCATTAATCAAAACAAAATTACATAAGAATTGCAGACTCGGTTTGATTGAGTCTGTACATGAGGGATAATGAACAAGTGCAAAAAGTTTTTATTCATACAGAAAAATATTAAAGATTGTACATATGTGCTACGGATAAGTATTTTCTTGATTTCGAAAAGGAAATCTCGGTGGCCGCTTTAAAATCCTATTTTTGCAAATAATTGCATAGTTTTTGTTAAAAATGAAATTTGTGCCAATATTTTTTTCAATGATACCAATAAAAATATTGGATGGTTTTTAGATTATCAATAAAATTACTCCCTTGAAGTTGGTCATTGTTTCCCCTAAAAATGTCCATATCGCCGATGTTTCTCAGGAAAACACGATGTTAAATAATAGGTTAATGCATAAGTTTTCTTCATCATAAATAGTAAAATCAGCAATTTTCAAGTGATGTTGCTATTGACAAAACTTTTGTAACAAATGTAACAAATATACATGTATGTTATGAAAAATGCCGTATGTTGTCCTTAACATTTATTTAGAAATACGGGAGACATGGGAGAGGCGCCGTTTTATACCTGTCCGCAATAGAAGTTCGTAAATACTCAGAGAGGGGCGGGGCGTTATACTTGACTTAAAATCGTCTACTTTTGTCATTTTAAACATGTTACTGTGTTAACGTACTGTTGTAGTTCTACAACTGGTAACACGTTTTCTTAAACTCTATTTGCTGTATTTAAGATTTACATTTCGTTTGTATATTTCAGATCTATAAGTGTGCAAACATGCATATGTATTGCATGCAATGGAAGATACGAACTTGTGAATTTGTTGTCGTTTTAGATGTTAGGTCAGTTGTTACGATCTATATGTAAACTTGTTATACAAAGGCGGGAACCTTCAATTAAAAGATTGAATTAAGAGACATATTATGTGCTATGCACGGGTACAATAAAAAATGGTAGGCACACACGTTCGCATTTTCAAAAGTCATTTTAGAAAGGAACACTTTACATGTCTGGAATTTTGGCAACGAACGCCCTCCATAGCAGTGAAGTAGACAATCATCGTACCAGTTTTAGTGGCTGTCTCGATTCCGGCCTTTTTAATGTCACTCGTATATCTCAATTATTCTTTTTATTTGAATGCCTGTAGAAAGATATTTCTGATATGTTTTAATGTAACGCTAGACAATAAAAATATGTACAGTTTGAGTCAGTATTATGCGAAATTAAAGTAACTTTTGATGATTTTTTACACATCGCTTAAATTTCTTTGAAGTTTAATTACTTTTGAAGGGGGTTAATTACCAGGTAACAAGTGATAATTGAAAAAACTTCATTACCAGGTTACATGTGATAATTGCAACACTCAATCTTCAAAAACAAATAGAATTTGGATGTATATTTTGTATGTGCGCGGTCATTAACTACAGTCCATAGTATGTGTGATAAGAAAATGATTCTGAAGAGGATATATATAAATACAATGTAAATCTATTTTCTTTATTAACATTTATAAATGAAATAGGAAATATACAGCTAAATTTGTATAGCCCCTATTTTGAAAAATAATGAAAATAAACATATGATAAATAAATCATTTGACGTGAATTGTAAAGGATAATTATGAAAAAAATCTGTTTCAAAATAAAAAAAAAATATTATGAAACAGCTGTTCTGTATGCCAATAAAAGTTTCTTCCTTGCTAATCTAATGAATTCATTTATATATGAACGCTTGTCTAGAATGATCTGAAAATATATTTTATACACTAATTAGTAGAATATTTACTATATTTATACTAATATAAAGGTAATCAAATAAAAAATGTACAAATCATTTGAAAATAATTCACAGAAATAAAAACAAATTTCAAACATGAATTTCTTTGAAGTTTTTTAGCAATCAAGAAACATTTCTTTTGCAAAGCACCCATTAAACCCTTTTAAAAAAAGAATTATCTTAATCTGAATCGCAGTAATATTTTGTGCTTGTAGTAAAAGGGCGTCAAAGAGTAGAGAGTATGCCTACACAATAGGCGAATATTTTTTAAATTAGGTACTTTTTAAACTATGCATTGCATCGTTCTATCGGCATATTTTCATATATATATATATACTTAAATAATACTGTATCATTACATTCATATGTGTATAATTTTTCACAAAGCTGCAATAACACTACATACTCTTGTGAAAATATGTCATATTTCGCACTCATATGCGATTCCGCGCATGCGCGCGGCGAGACTTTAAGCTAAACGAAAGTGTCCGATCCTTGTAATGTAAAAAAAAGATTTTTTTATTACATTTTGTGGTCCAATACCTAGATTCTAGGCGAATATGCCATATTTTGTTTATTCAAGTAGTTTAATCTTTAATAAATAAGTAAACAATACGTAACAAAGAATTGATTATATATACTCTATATTTATCAATTTATACATAACTATTATTTGATATTACAGACATATTTTCGGTATTTGTAAAATAACAGAAAGTTCGTCCTTAAAATCATTCGAACATTATGCAATTCGCATCAATATTTAAATGGACATATTCTCGGCACATGATGTCTTGAATTTATTTTAAGTTTACCAATAATTTCAATTTCACTTGTTATCCAATTTATTTTGCTTATCAATTTATACATAACTATTATTTGATATTACAGACATATTTTCGGTATTTGTAAAATAACAGAAAGTTCTTCCTTAACATCATTCGAACATTATGCAATTCGCATCAATATTTAAATGGACATATTCTCGGCACATAATGTCTTGAATTTATTTTAAGTTTACCAATAATTTCAATTTCACTTGTTATCCAATTTATTTTGCTTCGACCAGACGTTTCAATCTTTGTCGCAACGGACAAACATTTCAGAATTTTAGACACATACCAAGAACATGGAGAAAAAATTAATAAGTGCTTTGGATATTCAACTGTAATAGAGAACGATTTTCAATTCTGATTTTGTACATTACCTGTGATTGTTCACATCATTTGGCGGCGTCTTTGATGTGCCGCATCAACATTTAACTTGTTATATACTTATTCCACTTTACTTGTAGCATATTAATCATTCACCCCCCGCTAGACAGTGTCAATCACGTTACTGACACACTCAAAGGGATCTGATGTTTGTGTAACAATATATATGTCTATATACATATACTATTAAACAACAACCATATCTTAAGCCCTTTATTTAAACTAGTAAATACGACACCATTTTAGCATACTAGCTCAGTGGCATGAACTTGTAAACATATATCAATCTAATGTTATATAGATGAGTTTTCAAACAAGTCAACCAGAGCTACAAGAATTACTTGATATTTGTTTACGGGCCAGTCTTCAATTGGATATTCGAATAACCAACTACCTGCTTCGTAGATATATTGGATTTAGAGAAATCATTTAAATGTACTTACCGATACTTTTATGTTTTTACCGTTGCCAAATATATTGGCCAGTACTGTCTCGTGGTGATTAAACCTTATCACATTTGGTGCAGTCACAAAATAATAATCTTTAGCACTGAAAATGAGATATTAGAAATATAAAATATATATGCTGATATAAGACTTTAGATGAAATGTTCAGATAGGACACAATTCTGTGATGCAACTTATTACAATCACTATAAAAAAAATATTTGTGTAAAAATACGCAACTATATTATGTCACAACATTTTCTAGAAACGGAAGAACGCACGAAGGGGCAGACAAGAGCAAATCTCTATGAATTCTTACAAACACGTTTAATGCATATGAATTACATTATTTTGTAAATATTTATTATAAATTAATATCTTGAATATTTACAGGTGTAGCGTCCTTTGTCTTAAATACATGAATCGAATATACAAAAAACTTAGCTACAGAAGCTTTAATTTAAAGTAAGTCAGTATTGTCTTGGTTACGACATATTCTTATACATTTAGCCTGCTGTTAGCAACTGCATTTATATATACAACCAGTGCAGATCTAAATCAGTCGCACATTCATGTTGTCTTATCATGGTATGCACGGTTTGTTATTCATCCAGAACATTTTTTTGAATTTTTTTTTTTAAATGATGAATGATTTTGTCTTGATTAAATGATAAACAAATCCATTTTAGACATATAGCTGGGTATAGGTTTAACATAATCATCTTGATGATTGGGAGCTTCACTCGTCGTAGTGAGGCATTATTTAAAATGGTGCATGTTGTTGACGAATAAGCCTTTACATTTGTACTTAACGAATTTCGCCCTCGGAAAGTTGTATGCGTTTATACACCACAAATTTGACGCCAAAGTTCGTTAAACAGATACACGTGTAAGTTTTAATATCAGACAAACTTCTGCAGTTTCTGGTCATACATATTAAATTTAATAACATTTTAAATTAATATATTGTAGTTTAACTAATAATAAGTAATGAAGCGAAATGTAAGTCGGATAGCAATAGCAGACGATAGATTATTTTGTTATCTAAGATAAAAACAAATCTTAGAAGTCGTATTCGAAAAAGTCGTAGTACCTGTAATCGACCTAGTTGTACCTGCATTGGTAATATTAACAATACGTGTAGTTGAGATCATCGTTGAAGTTAATAACTACCTGTCGTAAAACTACCTGTCAAAGACGTCAATCATTGGGTCAAACTGGCACTTAAAGAAGTAAAATTCGTAGTCGTAGAAACGGTCGAAGTCGTAAGTGAACTCGAAAAGTCGAGTCGTAGTCGAAGACAGACTGGTCGCCGTAGAGTTTGTAGAATGGTAGTCATTGTCATAGCTGTACTCGTAGTCATTAAAATGGTAGAAATCGTAGTTGCAAAGTAGTCGTGATCGAAGCTGATTTTTAGTTGTTAAAGTCATTTACATGGTCGCTGTCGTCTGCAAAGAAGTGCGTATAGTCGTAACCTCTACAAAAGGTACGGACCATCATCAGTTTGGTCATCTGACAAAAATGAGCTATATACGGTGATATGAATCGGATTGACGTAAAAAGCTAACGGTAAGCAATATCCGGTGAAGGCTGTTTAAGATGTTGCGGTCCACGCATACAGCTCAAGTGCACGCTGTAAACGTGTTAAGCTGTATAAATAAGGTGCAACAATACACATTAAGGTAGCATTCAAGCCCATTAAGTCCGACACGAAACCATTTCTTTTCTAATATGCCGGTCATTTCGAAATGACTATTTAGGACTTTCTAAGATTGTGAAATAAGCTCAAAATGGATCTACAGCTGTAGCCGTCATGCAACTTTATTTAAATAAATAATTCTTCTAACTAATTGGGTACAAGCCATTTAAATAAAAATTGACTTGTTTGAAAATAAGATGCAATGGCATAATATTTACTGTATTTCGTTACATCCCTATCAAATTCCATTTTGGGTTCAACATGACACCAAATTTTATGTTGCATTTAAACATTAGAGTTTTTTATAATTTGAGGTTGAGCAAAATCTGTTTATATTTGTTAGAAGATTTAATACAATGCGTAAATGGAAGTAGGTCTGCTTGACTCTGATTATTTAAGACAAATCAAAACAGTCAAATGATGAGAAATGAATTGTTGCATTAAAACATAAGAGTGTTTCGTATCTTTGAGGGTTTAGCAAGATTTAAGGGTAAACAACGCAAATGAATTAACAAATTTTTCTAAAGTAAAAAAGCACACATACCTTTCACAAGAAGCAAAAATGCTTCCAACAAGCAGACACAATTTAAGCGATTCCATCTCAGAATTATTCCATCGAATGTTTAAAAATTTCTAGGCACTCGCACTTCACATAATTTCTGTTTTGAAATCCCGGAATTCAAGAAGGGTGTAGAACGGAATACTGTGCTGTTAGATTATGCATGATAAGAAAGTTTGGAAAAATCAACAGGCAGACAAGTTTAACGTCATATATTTGTTGTCTGCTATATATATGTTTTTAATGAACAACCAATAAACTTTTACTTTGTACCGATTGCTTTCTTTAGTTAATTGATGTCTTAAAAGGCCAATTGTGCCCCAAAATGCTTTTATTTTCATATCTCAAAAGTTTATTACTTTTGGCGTCCTGATCAATTACTAAGTAGCCATTTTTTATTGAGTTAAAATTGATGATAACAGTAATGTGGTCATATATTTTATGTGGCGTGAAAAATCATAAATGTACCAGGTGATCTATTAATTTTGAAACCAGTAATTCCTTTAATGCGATCCAATATAATTATGTTGTGTTTTTGTGTTTATTTTGATATGACTAAGTGATGCAAGGGATGCCAATGTGACCATTATATGCATCATGCTAAAATGTAAAATGTTGATGATGTTGCCAAAATGAAAAGAAAAAAAACGATAGAAAAACATAAAAAACAATAAAACATAAAATAAAATTTAAAAAAACAAGAACACATGTATGATGTATGATTTATGATACACATGATGTTTTAACACTAAGTTCTTGGCGGACTTTCATATCCAAAAGTAATTGTTTGTATTTTTTATTCCCTTTTGTCTTTCCGTTTCTTTCTTCTTTTCCTCTTCTTTTTTTCTCCTTTTCTACATCTTTTTTTTTTTAAATAAACGCAACCATAACAGAAAAAAAAAGGAAAAATAAAGATAACCTAGTTATGTACAAAATTTACAAAACTATAAACATGTACAAGTAGGAACCTTTCTTTTCCTGAAAAAAAAAAACACTAACAAACAACATTTATCTTGAAACTAAAAAACTATTTACAATGAATACTATTTTTTATTCTCCTGTCTATGGGCAATATCGATCACACATGTTACTGCTGAGGGGTTCTTTACCTGTTTTCTATTTATAATATATATTACAATATTTCTCTTTGATAAAGTTCGTATCAGTACATTGTAAGGATAATTTTTTATCGTTCCTTTATGTTATCTAAGTATTCTAATATGTATTTACTAAAGGATACATTCTTATATCACCAATACCATCATGCGCAACCTAAGCAGGCGACAATTATTTGAGCCGCGCCACGACAAAACCAACATAATGGGTTTGCGACCAGCATAGATCCAGACCAGCCTGCGCATCTGCGCAGTCTGATCAGGATCCATGTTGTTCGCTATTAGTTTCTCTACTTGTTATAGGGTTTATAAGCGAACAGTATAGATCCTGATCAGACTGCGCGGATGCGCAGGCTGCTCTGGATCCATGCTGGTCGCATCCACATTATGTTAGTTTTGTCGTGACGCGGCTCATTTTTATTCATTCGACTATTCATGTTCGTTAATATTTTCTCCCGTCACAAGCGGTATTCGTTTAATCAGACGACACTTTATTTTCGCTCGTATCCATTACAGCTATTAATAATAGTTGTTATATACACGTTTAGTATTGTGAATGGAAGTGAAAATGCTAACTGTTTTTTACATTTGGCTTCCTTTATGAAACATTACTGAATGCTCAGTGCTACTACCCAGAATGTTCTCAATCCATTGTTTTAAACCTTAATTGAGCACATATTTAACCTTTCCAAAGAATAAAAAAGTATTGATTTTTGAGACTGATGTATTTCCGACCGTTTTTATGTGTGTACTCTCCTTCTTTTTCTTTAAGCTGCTAGGCTGCCATGCTGTTAGGCTGCCAATTTCAGGCTGCTATGCTGCCAGGCTACCAACTTTACGAAAATGACATAATTTGCCTTTAACCAGAATAGGTTTATGTCAGAAAATTATATCAGAGAATAACACACATATACATTTAAATATACAACGTACCTCTGTGATTATTTGTTATAATCTACCTAAACAGGCAAGTCAAAAACTCTTAATTATTATTGGGTTATTGTATGAAACAAGTTGTGAAAGTAAATTCTAGAGTCACTATGGTTTTAATGTTGCTTTAAGCACATCTATTTTGTGAAAAAAAAATTCTTATATGATACATCATATAATAATCAATATTCAATACTGAAATCAGACCAAAGAGAATTTAACGGTAAATTTCTCCAGAAATATGTTTTGCTGTCATCAGATTTAATTTTATAACATACTTTTATATTGTATTTGAAGGTTAAGATACAAAATGACTACAATAGATATTGGTCATAAAGTATGTAAGCAATGATAAGAATATCCACAATTGAGACCACAGCGTAATTAAGACCACTTTTGTCCGGTCCCGATGGTGGTCTTTATTGAGGGTTTTCACTGTACTGTGATTATATGTACTTTACGATTCAATCTACCGAAACGCATAAGTTTCTCCAAAGCAAGGTCACGATAAACTTTTACGGGGATCTAGAAACTAAAACAGCTAAACCTTGACACAGTTTTCTAATTTACTCAGTGGCCAAACGTCTACAAAACACACTGTTCAGAATCGTCTACTACCTTGTTATATAAGACTTTATTACTTACACAACTTAG